ATCAGTGGTATCTGTTGCATCACAGCATCATGTTTGAGGAACTTGAGGAACCGTTTGGAACAATCTTCGATGGCAGCAAGGAGTACCGCACACTTACGCTAGTATCGCTCAAGGAATTTCCGCTGAACCTCATAGGCACCCCCAAGGAAGATGAGGATCGAAAGATGTTTGAAGAGTACACTGAGGATGCATGGTCAATCAGCATGGATGGCACTACACTCACGAGGTACCACAACTCGTTGAGGAAGACTTTGTTCAATCCTCGAGATACCAATGACATTCCAGTAGACATTGGAAACCTCAAGCCAGACAGGTACACGTATGGAGAAGAACCGATCAATAAGGATTTCTTTGAGGATGACAAGTTCTGGACTTTGGATGAGCCTCACAGAGACCCAGAACCACTAGGAGGTTTATCCTGGACAGGACGCAGTGTATTCGAACTCATTGAACCAGTGAACCCCAAGGCCAGAAGACCAAAACAGAAGGTTCACCAACTGGACACGATTCCAGAACAGGAAGAAGAACAGGAAGAGACCTCAGAGGCCCAAGCACCAGCACACAGGCATGAACTTGCAGGAGAGTTGTCTTTTACATTCAACGGTCATGAGTACAATCAGCAGAACAGCCTCAAGGCCCTGAGAGAGTTGTGCAAGGAACTAGGAGTCTCAAAAGCTGGCTCTAAGCAAGAGATTCTTAGAAGGCTCAGTAGATCCATCATGGAAGCAGAAAGGCACATGGAACTTGTTTCAGGCCAGAAGAAGTACAAAGAGTTTCTAGAAGCTGAACCTCTGAAGGTACCCAAACAGCCAAAGCCGGAGGAAGTTGCAGTGCATAATCTCACACACTTACCTTATGCATCGTGGTGTCCGACGTGTGTAGCATGCAAAGGAAAAGAGTCTCCACACCTTCGTGAGAACCCAGAGAAGGAAAGATCTTCAAGACCAACTTTCTGTATGGATTTCTGTTTTACAGGAACAAGTCATGATGAGGCACCAGCGGCAGTTAGTCTTGTGTGTGTTGATTCTTGGAGTAGGAACATGGTCTGTATCCCGACAGCATCTAAAGGAAAAGATCTTGTAGAGCACCTTTGCGAAGGAGTGACCTACTTGAGTACTCAGCTTGGATATGGAACCATCAACTTGAAGGCAGACAATGAAGGAACAATGATGAAGCTGAAGCAGGTCATCCAGAAGCAGCGAGCAGCTTTAGGTCTAGGAACAGTCTTGCAGGACGCAGTCAGTGGCCAGAAGGAAACCAACGGCATGGCAGAGAGAGCAATTCAAACCATTAGGAGACAAGGAACAACCCTGATTAGGCACCTTGAACACAGAACAGGAACATATATTGCTCATACTCATCCAATCTTCAGTTGGGCTTTCAGGCACTCGGCATGGACCTTGAACAGGTACCATCGCCATTCCTCCACAGGAATGACTCCGTATGAATTATGGCAGGAAGGCCTTACGAGGGCCAACTCGCCGAATTTGGCGAATCACTTTTGGTTTTGACCAATCGTTCAGGAACACGTGCCAATAGGAAAGGTGACCCTATTTGGTTGAGAGGAGTGTTTTTAGGAAAAACAGACAACAACCTCTTCATTACGTGGCACATGGACGGCATCAAGACAAGCCGTAGCGCAAAACGTTGCGTGGAACACTTCGACGTGAAAGGAATAAGTAGCGTAGGAATTCACACTTGGGAAGTGAAGCACACTACACTGGCAACAAGGAACATTCCCAGGAAGAATATCCCAGGACCAATTGCAGAGGCGCCACCTGTCATGGATGGAGCAGCTCAGGAACAGTCGGTCGAGGACTCGGCACCTTCCGCACCTTCAGGACCGATCGCAGGACCGATTGTCATCCAAGGCGGGGACTCTGCAGGGAAGTCAGGACCTACTAGGACAACCTACCTAGAGAGCAAAGCGAAGCAGGCACAGAGCAAGAGAAAAGCAGAAGAAGAACTTGAGCAGGAATACGACCAAAACAAACACGACGAAGCAGCTTCAGACCCAACGTCTTCTAGTAGCAGCAGTAAGGAAATGGACGCAGCCTCAGAAGAAGAACTCATCCCAGACAGCGCAATGGCAAGTGAGCTTCTTTCAGCTAGAGGACCAGCACCTCTTAGGAAAATGGAATTTGATGATGTAGGAACAGGTTCCAAGATCCCGAAGATTGATTCTCCGAAGAAGAAGTACCCTCCGTTCAACGTAGGAAGAGTATTTGAGCACAATGATGAAGAACTACCTGAAGCAGAACCAGGTACAGAGGACATTTTCTGGGAAGATTCATATTCGGACATTGGCGATTCCGATGAGGAACAAGACATCTTCAAGAGCGAAGATTCTGGACCTCCAGAAGTTGCAGAAGCCCAGTTGCAGGAACTGGATCGTGAGGCAATGCTCACAGAGATCAACAGACTCACCGAGATGAAGGCACTGGCAAGGAAACCCTTGCAAGAACTCGAGAGAGAAGAGGAGAGAGAGACAGAAGAAGAAGAGAGCAACCAAGGAACAAAGTGGTTGACGACGAAATTCGTCTTCGATTGGCGATTCAGGAACGGCCGATGGATGCGGAGAGCTAGGTTAGTAGCGAGAGAGTTCAAAGGAGCAGAAGTAAGGAACGACACGTTCAGCCCAGCTACGAGCGCATCGTTGGTGAGACTTATCCCGATCTTAGGATTACAACAGGAACATTCCCTGTACTCCATTGATGTCAAGGACGCATTCTTGCAGGTCCCACAAAGGACGCGATGTGCATGTCAATTCCCGAAGGAATATGTGGATCTGTTTGGCGACCAGGACCCTAGTTGTAGGAACGAAGGTTTGTTACTGCTTAGAGTACTTCCAGGACAGCGAGATGCAGCACTACTATGGAGTGATCATTTTGCAGGAACCCTCAAAGAGCAGAACTTTGATAGGAGCAAAGCTTGCCCTACTTTGTTTCGTGACGACAGGAACAGCATACTTGTTGTGCATGTAGATGACATTCAGGCAGCAGGGAAAACAAGGCACCTAGAGCCCAAGCTAGGAAAGCTAGGAGAAACCTACGAGCTAAAGGTTGAAGGCCCCTTCTTGACAGAGCAGGAACTTGAGGTAGGAGAGTCACACCAGACAATCCGATTCCTTAAAAGGAAATTCAGCTACCACAATCACGAGCTCCACATCACGAGTGACCCGAAGTATCTTGTGAAGCTTAAGGAAGAACTGAAGCTTACCAGCAAAGCCTCAAAGCCGACTCCGTGCACCCAAGAGTCACAGGAACAGGACAACACTCAGACCTTGAACCAGGAACAAGCGGCATCGTTCAGGAAAAGCGTTGGCATACTCTTGTATGTCAGTCAGGACCGCCCTGACGTGCAGTTTGCCGTGAGAGGTTTGGCCTCCAAGATGTCGGAACCAACACATGGTTCTTGGAAACACTTAGTCCACCTAGTGCAGTACATGTCGAGAACTGAAGGATACCATTTAGTGTACAGGAAAACGCCTAGAGGACTCAGTAATCTCCATGAATCCATCAGGAATGGTAACTACGACTTTACAGGAATAAGGCCCAAGGAACACCACCTTTTGGAAGTCTTCAGCGATTCAGATTGGGCAGGAAAGAAGGACACAAGGCGCTCAACATCTTCAGGAATTGTTTGCCTAGACGGTCAGTGCATTTACTCCTTTTCTAGGAACCAGAAGTCGGTTAGCTTGAGCAGTGGTGAAGCAGAGTACTACGCAGGAGCGTCAGCAGCGTCAGATTCTATATTGTTGAAGGAAGCAGTAGAATTCTTGACCAGGAAACAATGCAAGGTACACTTGTACATGGATTCTTCTGCAGCTAGAGGAATTATTACAAGGCAAGGTGTAGGAAGAGTCAAGCATTTGCAGATCAGGACCCTTTTTCTTCAAGACCTCCACAAAGAAGGAACAATTAGTGTTCACCCAGTAGGAACCAAGGAAAACACAGCCGACATAGGTACCAAGCCCCTTTCAGCGAAAAGGATCAGACTGTTGTTGCACTGGTTAGGTTTTCAAACCAGCGAGAACGAACCAGTAGGCAGAGAAGAGCTCAAGGAACACAAGGCCCAAACACAAGCTAAAGCAGTTGTAAGAATGATCAAGAGCCCAGGAACTTTGTCTTTTGCAGCTTTGTTGTTTGCAGGAATTTCAGGTATTTCAGACAGTCTTCAGATTCAGAGTTTCAAGGAACAGTGTCTTGAGAGTTGTTTTCAGGAAGAAGAGTTTCAGCCAGACTTTCAGGAACATGTTTTCTGTTGTGCAAGTGCATGTGAGCAGGACGGCATGTGCAGTGACACGAGTGCATGTGAGCTAGGAACGTCTGCAGGAACAGCTCATGGAACAACATGTTGTGAGATGCTTTCGCAGCTCAAGGAACTCTGCGGAACACTCGCGGAACGCTCAGGTATCCAGGAACTAGTTCGCCCGGTAGCAGAAGGTCAAGGAAACCTTCCAGGAACCTTAGCAGCCATGGAAGCAAGCGCGAGTTCGAGCAAAAGCACCGAAGAAGTGTTCAAGGAACTTTCTACCTTGAGAGAGGCGGCAACCGCCTTAAGGAACGCTTCAGAAGAAAGGAACTTGATCGCGGAGTCGATCAGGAAGAACACAGAGGAAGCTGCGCGTTTGCGCAAAAGCCAGGAACACGTGGCTGGTTGTGTAGAGTCCTTGACAGGACAAATCTACGACGTCAAGCACCAGGTTCAGGAAATGGCCGAACAGAACGACAGAGACCGGCAACAGGTCAAGGAACACATGGCCTTCGTCCTAGGCACATGTGACGCCGTAAAGGAACAGCTGAACCAGATGATGCAGGACTTCTACGAGCAGCAAGAGGAACAAGAAGAAGAGGAAGAAGACGAAGAAGAGCAAAGGAAAAGAGAAGCCAAGGACCGAGAACTAGAAGGTGAAAGCCCAGTTAGCCACGCAAACCTTTATGGTGTTTTTATGTGCTAGCTATTTTTGCTCAACTACATGTGCTTTAAGTTCGAGCTAGGACTTTGAGCCAGCGGAGCCGCATGGATTCAGAGGCAGAATTGTCTGCTCGCTTTGCTGCTCTGGAATCTTTCTTCCAAAGTGTCATTGACGCTCGTTGTTCTGTTTTGGAGCAGCGACTAGCTGCAGTGGAGATCACGAACCAGGACGATCGTTGTTCTGTTTTGGAGCAGCGACTAGCTGCAGTGGAGATCACGAACCAGGCTGTGCTGAATTCTTTGCGGCACGTGTCTGGCGAGGTCGAAAACCTCGAGAATCGTTTTGCGGTTTTTGAGTTTGCCAACGGCCCCGTTAGTGAGGACGACTTTGCTGCTTTCAGGCAGGAACTTCACGAGGCCCTGAATCAGCTTCGTCAGCAGGTGGACCGTGCTGTGTCTGCTGTGCAAGCACAGCATTCGTCTGCCAGGGGAGAGTCCGATTGAGTTCAGCTCGAACTGGGAAAGCTGAAAAAAAGGAGCAAATGCCTAGGGGTTGGAAACATGGGTTGGGAAGCCCAGCAGGACGACAGATAGGGCCACGAGGGCAAAGCACTCATGGTCATTGCATGGGTTGGAAAGCCCAGTTAGCCACGCAAACCTTTATGGTGTTTTTATGTGCTAGCTATTTTTGCTCAAGCTCGCCCATCATGGAAGATGAAATCATTCTGCAAAAACTTCGGGCCAGTGGAGCACCAACCCGCTTGGCCAAGCAGCTGTTGACCATCTGGTGTCGGAGTTTCATGGAGCAGTGTGAGGAGGAGACCCTTCTGGACCACGTTGAATGCCGGGGGTACCGCTTGGAGCTGGAGCTTGAGGAGCTGCAATCAGAACAGGCCGTTCGGAGCAGGCAGCTGGAGCTTATGTGGATCCGTCGTGTTTTAAAGTCATAGACAGCTGTCATAGACACGATGGACTAATTAACAGATCGATGGGGATCGCCTTGTGAGGGGATTAAAAAGCGCATGCAAGGATCTGGAAGTCTAGTGCTGTTACTCAAGTGTGTATGGGTTGGGAAGCCCGGCCCAGGAATTAAAGATATATGTATATGTATGCATGTGTGTGTGTGTATTTGCATGTCATACGAAATGATTCGTTTCACAACTGCATGCCAAGAATTGGCTGCATATGGGTTGGAAAGCCCAAACCAAAAGGGTTGGACAGCCCCTGCAACTATGGATTTTCTATTGATTTTACTGTGGATTTTCTATTGATTTTACTCTGGATTTTCTATTGATTTTATTCTGGATTCTCTATTGATTTTACTGTGCATTCTCTATTGATTTTATGCATGCTCTCTCGATTGATTTTATGGGATCGGTTTTGTGATATCCTCGATTGATTTTGACTCTACTCTTCTATTGAATTTCATGCAAAAGTTCTCTATTGAAAAAATCCAGAAACGCTTGATTTTACATAAATTTCAAAACCCTATTGATTTTTTGAAAAAATTCAATATCGGATGCTCTGGGTAGTGAAAGGTTACTTCGCGGTAGTGTTTTTTCGCGGCTGCGTGGTCGAGGAGTCCCTTCCTTTCCCGAGACCCCCGACCCTTCTGCGCAGGCGCTCGTGTGCTGCTCGTATCTTCGTCCTCGACCTCTTGGCTCGGAGGCAGGGTCAAGGGCCTAGGAATCTTGCGGTGTGAAAGGGCCGAATTCGGGGTCGCAGGGGGCGTGAAACGTGAAACCTGGAAGGAGGCCGCAGGGGCCGTGAAATGTGAAACTTGGGGGGCCGCGAGGCAGCACCGGGGCGTGACATGTGAAACCTGGGGGGAGGCCGCAGGGGCCGTGAAATGTGAAACTTGGGGGGCCGCGAGGCCGCACCGAGCGTGAAATGTGAAACCTGGGGGGAGGCCACAGGGGCCGTGAAACGTGAAATTTGGGGGGCAGCAGGAGGCGGGAAATGTGAAATTTGGGGGGCGGAGCGGGGCGTGAAATGTGAAATTTGGGGGCCGCAGCGGGGCGTGAAATGTGAAATCTGGGGGTCCGGAGCGGGGCGTGAAATGTGAAATCTGGGGGGCCGCGGGAGGCGTGAAATGTGAAACCTGGGGCGCCGCATGGGGGCGTGAAATGTGATATCTGGGAGGCCGCAGGGGGCGTTTTGGTCAGTGGACCAGGGTTTCACATGTCACGGGCCTTCGGGACGCCAGGGTTTCACATTTTGCACGCCTTCGGGGGACCAGGGTTTCACGTTTCACGGGCCTTCGGGGGACCAGGGTGTCACATTTCACGCGCCTTCGGGGGACCAGGGTTTCACATTTCACGCGCCTTCGGGGGACCAGGGTTTCACATTTCACGGGCCTTCGGGGCACCAGGGTTTCACATTTCACGCCGGGCCTTCGGGGGACCAGGGTTTCACATTTCACGCGCCTTCGGGGGGCCTTCGAGGGACCAGGGTTTCACATTTCACGCGCCTTCGAGGGGTCAGGGTTTCACATTTCACGGGCCTTCGGGGGACCAGGGTTTCACATTTCACGGGCCTTCGGGGGACCAGGGTTTCACATTTCACGGGCCTTTGGGGGGGTGGCCAGGGTTTCACATTTCACGCGCCTTCGAAGGGCCAGGGTTGCGCCTTCGCGGGCCAGGGTTTCACATTTCACGCGCCTTCGGGGGGGCCAGGGTTTCACATTTCACGGGCCTTCGGAGGTGGAGGGGCCAGGGTTTCACATTTCACGGAGCCGGGGTTTCACATTTCACGGCCTTCAGGGACGGCCAGGGTTTCACATTTCACGGTCGCCGCAAGGACCGATCCCCGGCGACGAGAACCCTGACCGAATCTGACCGAGGCATCTTGCAGCAGTTGCCTGTGCACGCCGGGCCACACTTGCAACTGCTGCGCATGTTGAGTTGCAGTTGGTTGCAAACTAAACACTTGGCATGCTACACGGTCGCGGACGGCATGTCGACAAATCAAGACATTCTCACCGAAGGAAAGCATATGCACGTTGTCATGTTTGTAACGAACCACAACACAAATTCTCACGCAGGGCCGATCTGTGATGCGCTGGCAAGCGTGTCCGAGCGGAAACAGGTCACGATTGTTTTGATTCAGCAAGAAGACAAGCGAAGTGGCTAACAAAGCATACGTGAGGTAACTCACCCAGTGAAAATAATGGCTTGGAGGGATGAACCAGCAGTCAAACTGAAAAAGGTGGAGATTGCAGTGCTTTTGCTCAAGCAAGAGGACAGCTAGGACGATTGCCGCCATGAGCCGGCCTCCAGCAACATCACGCAAGCTCAGGCGTGTGCTGGTGCTACTGGCGCTGTTCTTGACGTGTCAGCCAGAGCCTAAGACCGGCGCTTTGAACAGTGTCAGAGGTGTTCGCGAGCAGTTCAGGCAAGCAACGCAGACGGCGCGGGCTTTGCTTGGAGCGGGGGCCGTGCCGTTTTCAAGGTGGGATGTGATGTATGGCATGGAGTCCCAAAATCCGCAAGCCAGAGCGAGGTCGGTTCCTGCAGGAATATGGGCACGCAGCTTGCTCGTTGCACGCAGGGCTGAGGCGGGAAGCCGAGACCGAGAGAAGTTCAGTGTTAAGCTTATGTCCTGCAGAGCTGAGGCTGATGGCACTTTGGATGGTGGTGAGGCCGAAGACAACGAAGAGAAAAGGGTTTGTCGTGTTGCGTTACTTGTGACTCACGCTAAAGCATGCTACTAAAGCAGGCTGTCCCATCACAGACCGCTGAAACGGTCGAAGATGCCACGAAGGGGTTTACCGGGAAGAAGGCGTGCACTCATGTCCTTGGTGCTTGAGGTGTTTGGGTTGTCAGTCAGCTTGTGTTCGTGCCAGCACTTTGCAACTCCAGGCCCCAAAAGCAGGTTTTGCCATGTTTTGCCTTTCTGACCCGCTTCAACTTGTCTGGTGCTTATGATGTAGGTGCTCCAAACGCTCAACTCTGCCAGCAGCACATGTCTTTTCGGGTCAGTCCATGTTTGGAGGCTTCCTCAGCAAAGTATGAGGTGGAAGAGGTGGAAGAGGCGACGACCCAGGCACTTTCGGGGAGTTTGTGTTTTTGCTGGTGCGGGCTTCGCATGTCTGCGTGGCTCCTGCAGGCCAAAGCAGGCTTCGATCAGGCGAGCTGTCCGTGCAGCCTCGCGGACTGGAGCATCCTTTAGGCTGTGCCCATTGGCGCAGGCCCAGTGGCTGCAAAAAACAGCTGAGCAGATCCGGCAGTTTGGCGTGGACGAGGCGATTTGCATGTCTCTTGCTTGAGCTTCGGGTCTGCGAGCATGGATGGCAGGTCAGTTCTTGGGTCCGGGCGGCCTTGGAAACGGAGAACTACGGCGACAAGGGGCAGAGCATTGCCGAGATTTTGAAGCAGAACGACGTGAGGGGCACCGCGCTCCTGGAGTTGACTGCGGAGAAGATGCGAACGGTTGGCATTCTCATGGGCCCCGCTGAAGTCCTGGCCAAGCGCATCGCTGCTGTTTCTGCCCCGCCGACGGCCGCAAGCGGATTCCAGGCCGGGGGCTTGAACAGAGCTGGCTCGTCACATCATGGGTTTCGTTGGTTTCGTGCCTTTCGTGTCAGACCGGAATCTCATAGGATCCCCTCTTCGTTGAGCTGTCCCCACACTGCCTTCTCGGTTTGTTCTTGGCGTCTTCAGTGCACGGACGATCCGGCTTGAACAGCAGCGTTTAGCATGAGGCTTTTCGTGAGAGGTTGCAGAGAGGAGCATTCGTGTGGTTGTTTCTTGTTGTTAACTCTGCTTGTACGTGTCGTTGCTTGTGTTGGGCCAGCAAACATCAGCAAACGTATCTAGCGTCAGTTACTTGTGTTGTTGCCTTCAGGTTGAAGCCGTTCCGACAGACATTGCTTTGATAGTGGAAGCAGCGGTGACGAGAGCATTGGCTGCGGATACCGGCCTGTCGATCTCGAAGACCAATCTGTGGAATGGTCCGTGAGGGGGGCTCAAGGATAACCCTGGGTTCTTCGTGCTTGCCTTTAGCATGCGGACCTTGAAGAGCAGTGGGGTTGCGGTGGGGGCTTCTGCGTGAGCATGTTGGCTTTGGCTTGTAGCACTCCTGCATGTCCGGGGCTCTTGGTCGTCGTGCGTTTTTCGTGCAGTCCAACCGTTTTTGCTTTTTGGGGTCATGCTCTCCTCTCAGCAAGGGTCCGCTCGTCGTCAAGCTTCACTGTGTTGGCTTGCAGCACTTCGGGGAGCGGGAGGGGCTCTTGGCTGCTTCAGGTTCAGGCAAATCTAGTTGCTCTTTGTGTTTTGCCGATGCTTCAGAACGGGGTGTCAGTCCTAGGCTCGAGATGGGGGGGTCAGCCTGTTTTGCGCTCGCTTTGCGCTCGCTTTGCGCTCGTTCTCCAGGTTGCGGTTGTTTTTGTTTGAGGCTCGGCTTTCAGGTTACCGTGTCCGTGAGGGGGGTCAAGGGAGTCCCCTGGGTGCCTTTAGCACGACTTGATGGGTTCCGGCAGACTAGTGCAGGCCGGGGCTTCTGCGTGGGCATGTTGCCGTTGCTTGTAGCACTCCTGCCTGCCCGGGGCTCTTGGTCATCGTGCGTTTTCGTGCGGTCCACCGTTGTTGCTTTTTGGGGTGCTGCTTTCCTCAGCAAGGATCCCCTTGTGGTTAAGCTGTCTCCACTGTGTTGGCTTGCAGCACTTCGGGGAGCGGGAGGGGCTTTGGGAGCAGAGGGCTCTTGGCTGCTTCAGGTTTCACGCAAATCTGGTTGAGCATTCGCGTTTTGCCGAGTGTTGTTGCTGGCAGTGAGGCTCGAGGTGAGGGTCTGCGTTGCTCTCAGGCTGCAGTTGTTTTTGCGTATGAGGCTCAGTTACGGTATCTTTGTTTGTGTGCTTGGTCGCCGTGCTGTCGCAGTTGTCTTTCTTGATTTGTCGGGGTCGGGCAGGGCCCGAGACGCCAGCGTTTTGCAGGGCAGCCGGTCACAGGGCACCAGGTGAAGCTTCATGTGTGCTTGTGTCGATGCTCGGCTTTTGCACTAAGTGGGCCAGCGTTTCGCGCTTCACTGTGTTGGCTTACAGCACTTCGGGGAGCGGGAGGGGCTCTTGGCTGCTTCAGGTTCAGGCAAATCTGGTTGCCCTTTGTGTTTTGCCGAGGCTTCAGAACGGGGTGTCAGTCTTAGGCTCGAGTTGGGGGGTCAGCCTGTTTTGCGCTGGCTTTGCGCTCTCCAGGCTGGGGTTGCTTTTGAATGAGGCTCGACTTTCAGCTTGCTGTGTCCGTGAGGGGGAGTCAAGGGACCTGGGTTCTTAGTGCCTGCCGCTAGCACACGGACCTTGAAGAGCAGTGGGGTTCCGGCAAGACGAGTGCAGGCCGGGGGGCTTCCGCGTGGGCATGTTGTCTTTGGTTTGTAGCATTCCTGCCTGCCCGGGGCTCTTGGTCGTCGTGCGTTTTCGTGCGGTCCACCATTGTTGCTTGTTGGGGTACTGCATTCCACTCAGCCCCTCGTCGTTAAGCTGTCTTCACTGTGTTGGCTTGCAGCAGTTCGGGGAGCGGGAGGGGCTTTCGGAGCAGAGAGCTCTTGGCTGCTTCAGGTTTCACGCAAATCTGGTTGCACCTCGTGTGTTTTTAGAGTGGAAGGGACCTTTGTGGCTCAGGCAAAGGTGTTACGGCAAAGGTTTCACGCAAATCTGGTTGGAGGGGTGCGAACCCTAAGTTTGTTGTTGTTCTTGATGCCCTCAGCTCACGGTCTTCAAGGACTTTCTTTCATGTTTTTCCTGAGCTGTCAGGTTCTACAGGCAACGCAGCGCCAGGTGAAAAAACTCCCGGGTAGCGAGATTTCCAACTGGGATGACCGCGTCTTGAACTCGCGCATCAACAACAAGGCGAACAGGCCCATCCTTGAGAGGAATGAAACTGTGCAGGAAGTTCTGGCCCAGATCAAGATGACCCAGGATGCGGATTTCAACAAACCCAGAGTCGTTGCTCTTTGGAGCCCAAGAGGCACCGGGAAGACATCGCTCCTTCGACACCTTGCCCAGAGGGAGGAATACGCCGAAAGCCGCAAGTGCGGACGCCTGCTTGTCTTGGATGCTCAAGTCGTAAGAGACTACGTAGATCAGGATCCTGAGAGGCTAGTGCGCGCCATCATCATCTGGCATCTTCTTCAAATCTTTCACGAGCACACTGTGAACGATGTGACATTTCAGGCCACGAGTTTTGCAGATGTGATGGAGCTTGTGAAGGGCAAGGCCAACGATGACCGATTCAACACCAATCTCAGATCGTGGTTTTATCAGTCTGGTCGAACCGTAGGGCAAGTGCTCGAACAGTGGAGGTCCCTGACTGGAACAGCATTGGGGGCTTCAGACACCTGTCCTTTGCTGATCTTCATGGATCAAGCGGAGCTGCTAGCAAAAGAACAGCAGGCGATACGGAGTAGCAAGGGTGGCATAAAGTCTGCCTTCACCAATCTATGCAGCCACCTACCCCAGAGAATGGGAGTCTTTTGTGCTGGCACTTTGAACTTGATGGAAGGAGTTCCGCACACCGAGTACACCCAGCTAATGGTTCATCGGATGCCCGCGCTTGCACCCTTGTCTGGAGAAGCGGCTGCCACGATGATGGTCCAGAGGAGCGGGAAGCAGTACGGGAACGATGTGTTGAAGCAGGTGCATCTTTTCTCTGGTGGAGTGCCTCGTCTTCTGGAGTTTGCTTTCCAGGCACCTGGCGAGCTGTCAACAGAAGTAGTTGCCATGAATGCAATGACCATGTGCTTCAGCGACTCCTACGCATCTGCCGCACCCTTCTTTGACAATTCAGGTGTTGCTCTGTCGCTGGTTCTTTGCTCGGCGGTTCGCTGGAAAGTGTGTGAGCGGGCCAAAGTACCTGGCACGGATATCCCCTGGTCAGAGATCTTCCATGCAGGAGCTGCGTTTCCATCTGGTGACACCGTGCTGGTCCCGAGGCTGTGGTGGTGTCGGGACGTGGCGGTCTCTGAGACGCTCCAACAAAATCTGGAAGATGTCAACATCTCCTTGGAAGATCTTTTGCCAGATGCCATGAAGTTGCTGCAGAAGAGCGGAGGGCCAACCGCAAGAGGTGTGCCATGGGAAAAATGTGTGGCAAATGCACTGGCTGCAAGGTTTCGCCTGCATTGCATGGAAAGAAAATCGAATGCCAACGATACCTGGGTTCCGTTCTTGGAGCTCTACCCCACGCAGGATGAGCATTTGCGTAGGGTTTTGCAGCCTTTTGAGGTATGCTGGTGCGACGGTGTTGATCTTCCGACGAAAGAAGCCACGGTTTTAGACAAGGTTGGGCGAGCCATCAAGTGCAACTCTGCCTGTGCCTCAGCTCACCACGACTTGCTGATCCCAGTGCGCCGAAGAGACACAGGGACCGAGTACATGGCTGCGCAGTGCCGCTACGGCAGCATCAAGGGAGCCAACGAATTGGACAAAACAAGCCAAGCCAAAGCCAGGAAGCCGCAGAGGGGTGAAACCGTTGAGGACATGCCCAATGTGCTGCTCCAAATCTGCAGCGAGGCCAAAGCGGGCTATCAGGAGTTTCAAAGCAGACCTTGGAAAGATCGTCAGGACCAGCACAGATACAGTCTCATGAACTGCAGCGAGATCATTGCACAGCTGGAGTGTTTTCGCCTCTTGCGCTAAAAAGGGCTGAGCGCTCGTGCAGACTCCTGCTGCTCGTTCGGAGACATAGTGCTGAGAGATAGGTGCAAAAACTTGGCCTCGCAGCTCTCACTTGACAGGTCCCTGACACGAGCCGTCGTTGGATCTCTCTTCGTGGCTCAGGCGCCGCTTGAGTTGGTACGCAAAGCCAGCGGTTTGTGCAAGTGCCCAGTTGCTGCGTAGGCCGGTAGATTTGCTCTCCAGCGCTTTCGAATTGCACAAATCATGGTTTGAAGTTCGCGTGACATCATCTTGTTATTTAGAGCTCTCAAGCTCTCGACGTGCAGAGGTTTGCGTACAACTTGCTGCTGGCTTGCATCACCTTTTACTGGACCGTTGGAATCCTGCAATGGTCGCTCGAGTCTGCAGCGCTCATCGTCGGAACAGCAGTCTCATAGGTGTGTTGAGTCTGTAAGCATCGGCGAAATTTCGGCTAGTCTTTTGGAATCTTTCTGGAATCTTTCGAGTCTTTGTGGAGTCATTTTGTCTTTGTGGAGTTTGGCGGAGGGGTTCGGCGGTTTTTTCGAAGTGTTTGTGGAATCCCTCCTGGTACGGTAAATATTTGAGTCTCTGGACTTAGAAACTCCGTTTCTACCGCAGTCTCCTGCAGTTTGCGGCAGTTCAGACGCACTTGACCTCATCCAGCGGAAGTCGAACCTCCAAACTCCGACCCCGCCAGGCCACACCATGGCCCAAAAGATTTTGCATGCACTTTTCGCGCACTTTTGGGCCTTCTAAACGCCAGCTCTAAGCCCTCAGACCCGGGTTTTAGAACGAGTTCCGGCCAAATCGGGAAGGAAGGACTTGCCCCCACAACCAAACAGCCAGAGACTACGCCACAACAGAGGCCAGTTTTGAAACACAGATACAAGAGAGAGCTAGTATGGAGGGATACTTGGTCGTCATTGCCTTCTTCACAAGTGCCTCTTTTGCTTGGGGTTCTCGCGCCGCCCGTGCAAGCACGAGCGACGTGTCAGAAGTCGCAAAGCAGAACAAGAGCGATTGAACTGCACACCAAAAGCTCAAGTTGACACTCGTGATGCAAGCCCCGCGGTAGCCGAAGTCCGTCGCAAGGTCTAGCACTGGGTGAAGAACTTTCCAATGTGCAAAAATGTACAGGCACAGCAGAAAAGTGACAAGCTGCAGAAATCTACGACTGAAGGGCTCGGGGTGTACAGCAGAGCCACTTTCGGATAAGACGAAGCCCCATCCTTGTCGGACTAGTCACTTTACAGGAAAAGAGTGCTTCGAGACTAAGTTGCCTTACATCAGATGTACAGAGTCTGAAAGAAGGCAAGGGTCTCTCTCTGGGGAGGGTGTTCCAGTTCTCTGTCCTGTGTCGTCTACAGGCCTCGTTTCGAGACCTTGGTCAGAATTCGGCATTTCACAGGCCTGCAGATCTGAGGGTCTGGACGTACTAGAACGTACAATTTTGGGATATTTTGGGGGCTCCAAAGTGCTTGCAATTCGGCCGTGCGCAGGCCTCGGAGCTACTGCGAGCTGTTAGGAGGCGCTTTGTTGGCCTGCGAGCTACAAGGAAGGCGCTTTTCGGGCTTGCGAGCTAGGAAAGCGCTTTTCGGGCCTGCGAGCTGCTAGGAAGGCGCTTTTCGGGCCTGCGAGCTACTAAGAAGGCGCTTTTCGGGCCTGCGAGCTACTAAGAAGGCGCTTTGTTGGCCTGCGAGCTAAGGAAGGCGCTTTTCGGGCCTGCGAGCTACTAAGAAGACGTTTTGTGGGTCTGCGAGTAGCTAGGAAGCCACTCAGAAGCCTCAGAAGCCTGCGAGTGCTGTTTGTCGAATCGCAGGCCTGCGAAGTTGCTGGCTAGGGGGCCCCCTAAAGCCACTTGGAGGCTCTTTGCAAGCACTTTTGAGCCCCCGAGATTGCTGGAGCTCCGGCACGCACGTTGCAGAATCGATAGGCCTTCGAAGTGCCGAATTCTGACCTATGTCTCGAAACGAGGCCTGTAGACGACACAGGACAGGGAACTGGAACACCCTCCCCAGAGAGAGCAAAAGCCCCGAAACCTCGATTGATTTTTTTGCCGGAGAAATATCAATCGCCATCAATCGCTTGTTTTTGGGGCCCGCAAGCACCGATTTCGACCCCGTCCACGTAAGCGGAAAGCGCGCGAAGTGAGCTCGAGCCCGTTCCTGGGCTCTGGAGGCGCTGTTTACAGCCCGAGCAGCCGATTGATGGAATTGATGGAATTGATGTGGATTTTTTGTCGCCGGGTGCAGGGGAATCCATGTCTGGAATTCTCCATGGCCATGTCCCTGTTTTTCCGACATGCCTCCAGGGAATTCCGAAGTGGACGGCGAAAACGTCAACTTCCAGATATCCTCAAGCAGGATTCTCACTTTCAGAAGAGGTTAGGCACTCCATCCCTAACCTTAGTTTCGCATTCCGTGCGAAACTTCCATTTTCAAGTGTACGGCGAAAACGTACACTTCCCGGACCTCACGATATCACACACTTCCCCCAGTTTTCAAGAAGTTAACGACGGAATCGTTAACTTCGGTAACGGAAAGCCCGCTTCTCGGAGCGACTCCCGGTGCTGTTCTGTCGCCCGAGCATAGGCTTGTGGCACGTAGGCAGCCAGAGCCCACATGCTGCCCTCGTGGGGCTCGACCTTGTGATATCGACGAGCATCGAAGCTCACTGGCTTGTCGTGCATGTCCAGCCACCTGCCCCGCAGTTCCCGGTCCCCTTTCTTGTCGGCCAGCCGGGCCGTCGAGTCCCCCTCATCGTCTTCGATCCACACCCGCCCTCCTGTGTAATCACCCAGAGCCAGCGCATGATTCAGGTGCCCGGGCATGTTCTGAATGTCACGGTGCAAGCCCATGCGCGGGTTGAAGAGTACAGCTACGGCTCCGGAGAAAGCCGTTGACGGCTGCGCAAGCCTCCCGCAGGCCGGTGGCATTGGACACCCCGACCACGCCGCCGTGCCCGAACAGCCCCAGCGTTGCGTACCTTTCGTACGCCCCCGGCCCCACCGCCCGGGTGCGCCCCCGGTGCTTCCAGCCCGCCGACCACAGGTCCAGCAGCCGCACGAGATTGCCTTCGGTGGGTTCCTCCACGGCGTTCCGGCACGCCGATCTTTTTTTCTCCTATCACACCATATGTTTCAATGTCGGGCTCAATGTTGGTCCCGCCGACATTGAAGGTGCTGTCGTTGATGCTTAATTGTCAACATCGGGCACAACATCGGTCCCGCCTTTGTTGAAGCTGATGCTTTGTCTTGTCGGTTTTCAACACAGGGCTCAACACAACCCCCACCTGTGTTGAAGGGACATTGCCGGCATTTCGCACCCCAGGCGCCCATGGCCCTAAAACACCATGCCGCACCCCAGTTTTTTTGGATTTTGGGCCCGCCCGCCGGGACTGCGCCCCGACGGCCCCCGGCGGCCGGCCGTTTTGCGAGCCGACCACGCCACGGTCCATCTCCGATTTCGGGCTGCCCCCCGCCTGGGTTTTGAGCACGGTTTCGGCCGAATCGCACCTATCGCCGGGCATCACGGGCCTGCCGCGGCCCCGATTTTCAACACAACCCCCGGTTATGTTGAGCGCATGTTCCGGACCCACCGGCCAAAAGCGGCACAGCCAGCCCCGAAAAGGCCCGGTGCGTGGAACTTGCGCGTGGGTTAGTTGTTTGCAGAAAAGCGATGACAAAGATAGAAGTTTTGAGTGTCCATGTTTGCACCTCCTGCGGCCCATGAAATCAATCCCTAGGTTGTTGGCCTTTTTTTCTGCAGGCAATCGACCCTTCCTTGTCTCCATTTCAAGCGTCCAAGATCGACATTTGCAGCCAGACGGAGTCATGTCAAACCCGCTCGCCATGAAATCAGGGAATCAAAGCTGAAGCGGAGTTGAGCTTTCATTTTCCACTGAGCCGTTGCTGAGCTTTGCGTGAGGCTACCAAGAACGAAAAGACTGTGACGTGCGATGCGTTCCAGCTGGATATCTCCAGCAGGAGAGCATTTCACGTCAAACCCGCTTGACGGCTTGCAGGATGGGGTCTGGTTGAAGGAAGACGGAGACAATGAAGTCAATCGCGGCATAACCCAGCACCTGGTGTCGATGCCTTTTTCAGCTTGGAAATTTTGCTGTCGCCCCGCTCGCAGGGCAGATTGCTACGGGTTCACGCTGCCACAAAAGACGGACGATGTGTAAGTTGCATGCGTGTGTGCCTCAGCAGCGCCGGAGTTTGAAATTAGCTTTTGCGAATCCATGCTTTTAGGTGCTTGAAAAACCACATGTGCCGGGCTGACGGGCGGCTTGAAACTGAATTGTGCTTGCGAAGGCTCGGCTCGTGGAAGAGCGGTTGCTTCACAATTAAGAGCCGCAGCAGCAGAACGGAGGCCATGAATTCATAAAGACGAACACAGACGTCAGACCAGTGGGACATATACAGAAGAGAACATGTCCAATGTTTGTTCAAGGTGAAATACTTACTTGAGAAGCAATAAGACAAGGCGTGCCTCGATTATCATGGCGCGCAGATGTCAGAGGATGGTGGTCCTTGCCATGTTCACCCATGTGAGCCTCGATCTTTGCGGATTTGTTGGCTTTTGGCACGCCAAAAGAGGCGGCGCGCACCCACGAACCGTTGGGGTCGCCGTTGACCCAGCTGCAGTGTTAAGTACTGCGTCAGCTGCAACAGCCCTTGTTGATTTCATCAACAAGCAGATGAAATACTACGAAAAAGAGATTGCAAAAATTCCGCTGTTGCCGCTGAGCGGGGATGTGCAAAAACATGCTCAGAAACTGCTTGTAAGTCTGGTGAGTGCGCAGAAGCTTGGCAACAGCATTATTCCGAGATCGCAAAGAGTACCTGAACAGCCAATTGAAAACACGAGCTTCGAGCAGTTGATGATGACAGTCTTAGCTGACAACCGAACAACTGGTGTCTCTGCAGTGCACGCAGAACCAGGCGTTGGCAAGTCCACTGCCACGGCACTGGCGCTCAGGAATGGGATGCCGAACTCCTCAGTCGGAGTGCTTCTACAGGGAGCTTTCCAGAAGAGCCTCAGAGACTTTTTCCGGGCAGCAGATGCTGCAGATGCCGTGCAAGTTGCTTCGGTGCTGTTTGATTTGCTTCAAGCTGGTGGCATCCGTTTGCAGATCATCTTTGACAACACCTTTGATCAGGGGTTGCAGGGACAAGAAGCCTTGCTGCTGGGTCTCACCAGGTCTGCGTTTGACTGTGGTCACCACCTGCTCGTCGTCACCCAATCTGAGAAAGCTGTCCAGGAGGTAGTCAATCTGAATGGAGCACGCTCCCGAGCTTGGGCACAAAACGATTCACGCAGCTACAGATGGGGACGCATGGAGGCTAGGAAGTACTTGCAGAACAACCCATTGCGTTCCAACGAGCAGACCATCGACGCGGTTCTGAACATTACAGCGGTTCCGGATCAAATCGGCAGATGGCGACCTGTGGACGTAGATGAGTACTTGCGCACGGGTCGAAGACCGCAAGCACCACAAGCAGGACAAGGCTCACAGTTCAAGTTTCGCATGGCTCACATGGTTGCCAAATGAAGCTCCGCAACATGGACTGGGTGAGAAGTCTTGTAGTCTTGTCTTGTTTTGTCTGTCATCGTTCTCCGCTTCCGTTTTGCAGAAGCAGGTTCTCCGGCCTTCGTGCACATGTCATGATGTGTGCTTCTTCGGAGTCCTTTTCTCTTGTTTGATCTGCAATTCTCGGCTGCCTTGCGTCCGTTATAGCACCCTGTGAGGCCCATCTGCCGGACCTGCAGGCACAAGAGTTGCAAGGTTTGAGACCGTTGCTCCAGGTGGAGGCTGGAGGATTCGAGATACCAGCCTTTGGCGTTCTGTGAGGCGCGACCTCTGAGCCCGTCGTCTGGGTGCGGGAGTTGGCCCGGAAGGACGGCGTTGTGTGCGCATGCAGTGTTGGCGTTCTTGGCCGGGCTTGGTGGGCCCTGGCGTGGGATGTCGGGATTGCTGGAGTGCTTCTGAGCGTCGGCAGGGGCGGAGCATGACAAGTCGGGGAGGGGCTTCGGGAGGTGGTTCGGGGCTGGGAGTTTCGACACCGCTCGCCGCCGATGCTCTGGATGCCGATGCTCTGGATGCCGATGCTGCCCCGGGACAGGGATCAAAAGCATCAAAAGCATCAAGGTATTTTCGACTCAAAGCACAGCCCGAATCGATGGATTTCATGGGCGTTCCTCCCGCCTCCGATGCTCTGGATGCCGATGCTACCCCGCGACAGGGATCAACCCAGCATCAACAGCATCAAATCCGTCCTTTTCGACTGAGAAAACAGCCCGAATCGTTATGATTTGATGGTTTTGATGGAGGTCCTCCCGCCTCCGATGCTCTGGCTGCCGATGCTCTGGATGCCGATGCTACCCCGCGTCAGGGATCAAAACCATCAATCAATTCCGTCAATCGGTTCTTCGGGATCGAAAGTCGTCTTCTCGACCTCGTTGACGCCTTCAGCGCAAACGGAGCCCACACAAAAGCAGCTTCGAGCCCTTTTTTGTGCTCTGGAAGCACGTTTTTGGACCCCAATAACCGATTGGTCCCGGGTCCGGAGTTGTTTTTGGCCTCTGCTCCAAGCCCCCGGGGGCCCGGAAAGAACCATCAATTCCATCAATTCCGTCAATCGATTCTTCGGGATCGAAAGTCGTCTTCTCGACCTCGTTGACGCCTTCAACGCAAACGGAGCCCACACAAAAGCAGCTTCGAGCCCTTTTTTGTGCTCTGGAAGCACGTTTTTGGACCCCAATAACCGATTGGTCCCGGGTCCGGAGTTGTTTTTGGCCTCTGCTCCAAGCCCCCGGGGGCCCGGAAAGAACCATCAATTCCATCAATTCCGTCAATCGATTCTTCGGGATCGAAAGTCGTCTTCTCGACCTCGTTGACGCCTTCAACGCAAACGGAGCCCACACAAAAGCAGCTTCGAGCCCGGTTTTTGTGCTCTGGAAGCACGTTTTTAGACCCCAATAACCGATTGGTCCCGGGTCCGGAGTTGTTTTTGGCCTCTGCTCCAAGCCCCCGGGGGCCCGGAAAGAACCATCAATTCCATCAATTCCGTCAATCGATTCTTCGGGATCGAAAGTCGTCTTCTCGACCTCGTTGACGCCTTCAACGCAAACGGAGCCCACACAAAAGCAGCTTCGAGCCCGGTTTTTGTGCTCTGGAAGCACGTTTTTAGACCCCAATGAACCGATTGACGGAATTGATGGAATTGATGGGGGCCTTCCCCTTTGTGTCGAGGCAGTTTGCACTGTAGTGGAAAACTCGGGGGGAATCCGCCACTTGACGGAATTGATGGAATTGATGGGTCACGGCGGGATGGTTCGGGCGGCGGTTCGGGAGGCGGTTCGGGGCTGGGAGTTTCGACACCGCTCGCCGCGCAGGATGGGACGGTCACCGCCAAGCTGAGGCCCAAGGAAGATTCCGATTGCCGGTCGTTTTGGAGCAGCGCCTCTGCGCAGATAAGGTCTCGTCAAGACCCTGAGGGCGAGGAAGAGCTCGAGCCGGCGTTCCAGGTGTCCCCTCAGGCCATCTTCGCTGCACCATGTCAAGTGGAGTTGACCATCGCATGTCAGCAGGACCACCCAGGCTCGAGACTCAATAATGTGGACGATTTGAAAACAGACCCGCCCTCGGCATGCTTCCTTTGCTGCCCGTCCCGACATTTGCCCAAGTCCACGAGGCCATCAAGCAGATGAACCCCGATCTCAAGGACATCGCTCCAAGGCATATCGACATCTACTTGCAAGAAGCGCGGAGCCCCAGACTGCCTTTTCTGTTGGATCCTTCCCTAGCCTCCGATTCTGGCAGGCTGGAGCGTGGCGACGCATCAAAGACGAATCGGAAGTCCTGCGTCGGGACACCACCAGGCCCAACCCTCGGCTCTGTGATCAGCCATTTGACTTCCACATGACGGCATCACTGCACTGCTAGGCTCGACTGCTACGGCTTTTTGCCGTGGCAGCGAACTTGAAAGGCCGGGCGATGTGATTTGTCAAGGAAATCGGAGAATCAGTGCTGTGCAGGCACCATCTAGCTCTGCACATCCTTTTGCACGGTCTCTCTCGGTTTCACATGTCAAGGTTTGCGATGTGCATCATGCCAGGCTTCGGTGTGGTCAGTTTTGCTGCAAGTGGCGCACTTAGATCGGCAGCAGTAGCGATCTAGGTCACTGCTGTAGTGAACTAGATGACTGTAGCAAAGACGTCACTAATTCCTGGCCACACCACGTTTAGATTAAGCTCTGGTGTCGTGCAGGTCCCGGTTATCCCTTTGTCCCGCCCCTCAGCGCCCGAATCCTCCAGAATCCTGAACCTTACTAGGCTGCCCTGTGAGTGCCCTGCGGTGGCAAGGAGCCGACGCAGTCGACCGCGCCGCCCTGAGCAACGGATGAGCCCGGATGGTCCACCCTCCTTGCACAATTGTTTGGATTACTTGGAGTCAGGCAGCATCGTATCTAGATGCCTAGGCGACTTAGGGGGCCGGTTCAACACATGCAGTAAAAACAACCCTTTAAGTCTGCCTTACAAGCAGTATTTCAAATTTGTAAACAATCTCTGTTTGGAAACCTTAAATGTGTGGAAAACGGCGCGAGCGGGGCAAGGAGGGCGACCGGAAACCTAGGGCCCGGTCTGGCCAGTCTTGGAAGATCCCGATGCACAGGGGACGCGGGGACGGGGCCGACCGGCCGACGTTGCACAGCATAGAGGGGTGAAAAAAAAAGCCAACGAGGTGTCATGTCGGTCCGTGGATGCAATCTGAGTGCCGTGAGTGCATGAGTGTGAGTGTGTCTGTGTGTGCACGCGCCGAAAAAAAGCGGCTCTGTGTATCCTGGCCGGCGCGTCTCTAGGGGGGCGGTGACGGCTCCGCGAGCTACGAGGTGGGACTCTTCAGCCCTCCTTTTTTCGCACTCTTTCGAAGCCAACCTGTGCAGGTCTCTCGAGCTCTTCGTGGCCTCGGCGTAGACTCACCCCGGTTGTCCCCCTAAGCACCCGAACCCTTCACCCGAGCCTCCCTAGCTAGAACCCTAGCCCCCGCTGCTGCCCTGCAAATCCCCCCCCCCTGTGTCTTGTCTCCTGTTTTGTCGGTTGTCCCTAACTCCCGAACCCAGGCACCCGAACCCCTAGCACCCTAATCCCTACTAGGCTGCCCTGCATCGTCCCTGCAGCGCGCAAGGGTTCGCTGGATAGGGCTGTGCTTGCTCCGCGATGCCGGCGACGGGGATCAAACCCATCAATTCCATCAATTTCATCAATCGGGCTTTTGATGGGTTTTGGGACTCGTTTTGGCCTCCAGGGTGATTGCTGGGTGTTTCGGTTATTCGCTTCCTCTCCGGGGGGCGAGTTTTGGCGACCGAAGTCGCCGATTCGGTCCTCGCGAGGCCGATTGATATTTCCCCCTCCGTAACATCAATCGGGTTTTGGGGCGTTACAGGCTCCAAGAAGGTGATTGATATTTCGCGGGCAACCCAAGCGGGCGCAGTTCGGCCTGGAGCCCGTTTGCAGGGCTCTCGAACACGATTTCGACCCAGAAGAGACGCTTGATGAAATTGATGGTTTTTTCCGGAAGGGTCCGGGGCAGGATTTTCGGTCCCCATACCTGGCAAGTCTAGGGCGGCGCCACGGGTCCAGGACTTGCTTGCTCCGCGATGCCCGCGACGGGATCAAACCCATCAATTCCATCAATTTCATCAATCGGGCCTTTGATGGGTTTCTGTAGCTCCTTTTGGCCTCTAGGGTGATTGCTGGGTGTTTCGGTTGTTCGCTTCCTCGCCGGGGGGCGAGTTTTGGCAACCGAAGTCTTCGATTCGGTCCTCGCGAGGCCGATTGTTGTTCCCCCTCCGTAACATCAATCGGGTTTTGGGCGCTACGGGCTCTAAAAAGGTGATTGATATTTCGCGGGCCAAAATATCAATCGACATCAATTGGCCGATTCTGATGTCTAGGAGCCCCATTTTTCGACTTTTGGAGCGACATCGAGGCAACCCAAGCGGGCGCAGTTCGGCCTGGAGCCCGTTTGCAGGGCTCTCGAACACGATTTCGACCCAGAAGAGACGCTTGATGAAATTGATGGAATTGATGGTTTTTTCCGGGGGGGGTCGGGGGGCCCTAGTTTTTGTTTTGGTACCTTCTCGTGGCAAGTCTGAGGCGGTACCGTGGGTCCGGGATTGAAATCCCGCAGCTGCCGCACCGCTAAGGGCACGAGCCGTCGAGTCAGCCGCGCTTTAGGCTCCGCGGAGCCATCGGGGCACCGGGAGCGCATGCTTCAGCAGAGTCTCCGAACCATCGGTGGCCCGCACCGTCATCGAATCGTAGCTCGAAACCTCCCGCACCGCCCTGTACTGGGGCTGGAAGCTCTTCTGGGCATTGGTGGGGGCCCGGAACGCCCCCGCCTCCTCGAGCCGCCGCTGACGGCTCCTTGTCAACTCATCGTTGTGCTTGAACTTTCGAGCGTTATCCTGGTAGACCCTGAAGCTCGCGGCCGGCTTCGTCTCCACATCCTCGGGAGCCACCGTGACCGCTGCATGCGGGCGGGCGTTGTACGCCTCCGTAGCTTCGTCCACGTGGTCGCCCCTGTATGGCTCGATCCACCACCGCCGTTGCATTGCGGTCCGTCGGGTCCTCCTCCAGCCCCCCGCCCTATCCGTGGTAAACACATCCGTCACCACCGGTTCATGACTTCATCATGGGGGCCGAGTACGTCACAGTGGCGCGGATTCGCCAGGCCTTGGCGGACGTGCCAGGCGCTAAGCCTGGTGATGCAGGAGAAGTACAGACCCGCCGTGGAGCGGCTGCTGCAGATGTCGCACCGAGACGGCACGCCCATCTATCGCCACGAGGAGGTGGCCGGCATAGAAGCGGAGCCGATCCGAGCGAAGGCGAGGTGGCGCCGAGTGGAGGACCCCGTGGCCCACTGCCCCACCTGGGTGGTCATAGAAGAATTGACGCAATAAAGATACTCCCCTCCCCCTGTGGGCCGACATTGCCTGCTTGAGCAGGAACAAGAAGATTCGTTTCGTACTGCTCGGAGACTTTAGGCAGCTGCCCACCGTCTTAGATAGCTTCGCGGGCGCGGAGGTGTGCAAGGAGCTGAAGCACAGCCAGCTGCTGCACGATCTGGCGGGGGGCTGGTGCCACGAGCTCTCGGAGCGATGGCGCTTCGACGAGCGAATCTTCGAGTTCTTGATTTGAGCAGGTCCCGCTGGCCGAAGCGGTGCGGGAGGCCCGGCGGCGCTTCCCGAGGCGGGGGGAGCCCGACGTGAGCCTCGTCATCTTGCAGATCAACGAGCGGGAGAATCGCAGGCTCGCGCCGCCCGACGCCTTGCTGGTGCTCGTGCCGACGAATGCGTCGCAGAGCATGAGGGTGTGGCCGGGGCTGCGATTGATCGGGGCCGGCGGCAAGGTGCAGAAGGGCACCTTTCTGACCGTGGAAGCGGTGGAAGGGGATGTGGTTCGCCTGGAGAGCGGCCAGTGCTTCGCGGGCCCGGAGCTGCTGAAGCACACCCGGCTTTGCAGCGCGATTACGTATGCTTCGGTTCAGGGTCTGACCCTGAGAAGGCGGGCCAATTCGGAGCTTTTGAGTGTGCTTTGAGTGATTGTGCAAAGCCACAAGATCCGCAGTCTATGTTTTTTGACTTCAACTTGAGCGTTTTTTGCGGCGGTGTCAGCATTCGTCAGATTTGACGAGTTGTGGCACCGGCCTATTTTTTCGATCAAACGAGCGCTTTTTGCGGGGGTGCCAGCATTCGCCAGATCTGAAGAGTTGTGACACCGGTCGGTTTTTTGATCAAATTGAGCGTTTTTTTGTGGAGACGCCAAACCGGGCGAGCCCCGGAATGGAACCGAGCCCCGGAATCAAACCGGGAGACACTCGGAATGGCCGCCGAGGAGTTTTGAGCGTCCTGTGAGGTTGTTCAGGCTTCCTCGACTTCGAGGAGGTCTGAACAAGGCCCGTTTTTGATAGAGAACACGAGTTCAGAGCGCTGCAAAAGAAAGGGCATAGTTTCGTTCCCCACACGCCCCGACTGGGGGCCACAGATGCTGCAAAAAAACGGGCAGCATTCCGTTCCCGACAGCCCCCCGACAGCCCCCCTCGGAGGGGGACTGCAGACGCACAGAGGCCTGGCGGGGGCGGCGAGGCTTCGGAGCCCCCCCATTTCTTGGAGGGCTCCCCGGTGCCTCGCGGACCGGCGCGGAGAGTCTTCAGGGGTCCCGGCGAACCTGACAACCGCCGGTGGTTAGCCCTGAAACAGTCGGGCAACCCCCTCGTCTCCGCTGGACCGCCGGGCCGCTTCCCGGAGCCTACCGCTCGAAGGTCGGTCATCGGCACCGAGTCCCGGCTCAGCGTGCGCACGAAAATAGGAGTAGAGGAGACGGCGGTAACATACCTACCCAGCCAAAAAAAATTCCGACCGGCGACCCCGGCAAAAAACCATCAATTCCATCAATTCCATCAATCGGCTCTTCGGGCTGTAAACAGCGCTTCCGGAGCCGAGGAACGGGATTGAGCTCGCTTCGCGCGCTTTCCGCTTACGTGGACGGGGTCGAAATCGGTGCTTGCGGGCCCCAAAAACAGGCGATTGATGGCGACTGATATTTCTCCGGCAAGAATATCAATCGAGGTTTCGGGGCTTTTGCTCTCTCTGGGGAGGGTGTTCCAGTTCTCTGTCCTGTGTCGTCTACAGGCCTCGTTTCGAGACCTTGGTCAGAATTCGGCATTTCACAGGCCTGCAGATCTGAGGGTCTGGACGTACTAGAACGTACAATTTTGGGGGCTCCAAAGTGCTTGCAATTCGGCCGTGCGCAGGCCTCGGAGCTACTGCGAGCTGTTAGGAGGCGCTTTGTTGGCCTGCGAGCTACAAGGAAGGCGCTTTTCGGGCTTGCGAGCTAGGAAAGCGCTTTTCGGGCCTGCGAGCTGCTAGGAAGGCGCTTTTC